CGGGTTAAAAACATATTTAATTGAATAAAATTTAGCTTTCACTAAAGGTTGACAATAGCAAACCTTAGAAGACTATCCAAATAAAGCGTATTTTGTATTGTTTGGGATGATTCACGTTTGGCTTAGCCCTTTGAGATTAGCAATAGCAAATCTCGGTTGAGACAACCTAATATTAAACAGTTGCTTAGTTTGGTTACCTTTAGGTTGACGTTTAAATTGTGTACTTAGACTATTTGGTTTTTGATTGGATTGAACTCTGATTTCAAGACAATAAGAGAAAAGTTGAATTACAAAAAAGAAAAACAAATAACAATTTCATTTAAGAACAATTACAATAAATTAACTACATAATTAGAACAATTAATAATTACAATTTTACGATTAAGCTCAAAACTGCCCAAGTCAAAAGACCCTCAATCAAACCAGTCAACAAAGTCAAACCAGTTAGAGATTGGGTCTGACCAAACCCATATCGGTCCGACCCAACTCAGACCGGTCCGACCCACGATCGGCACTGTTGTAAGCTTTGGGGAACAAGTTTTCTTTTTCTATAAAAACCCACTTGTTCCATACCAAAGAAAGGAGGGGGAAAAAAGGGAGCAGACTCCCTCTCTCCTTCTTCTTCTTCATCTCTGGATCATTCCCAAACTCCCTTCCTCTTTGCACACACAGAACCACTTCTCTTCTTTCTTTTTACCACAAACCCACATAAACAGAGGACTTCTCTGGGAACCTTTTCTCTAGAGACAGCTTCTTCTTCCCCACGCCTCCACTTCCTGAAACAAAGACAGACAATGATGAGTCCAAGACCTCCTCTCCTAATACCGATAAAAACAAAGCAGAAAAGAGAGAACAAAACTCTGCAAAAAAGAAATCTGGAAAGGGGCGACTCCCTTCTTCTTCTTCCCCACAACAACACAAAAGATGGCAAGCAGTCCTCAAAAATACAATAGCAGCAGATATATCCACAGAACCGGGGAAAGAAGCTCCAACCCTTCCTCAAACTTCAAAACACAAGGTTGGTGGCTCGAGCTGAACCCTTCCTTCTATTTCCATCATCAGTCACAATCGTCTAACTTCTCCTACTCATGTGCGGTAAAGGTTTACTCTTCTCAAAAGAAACTCAATCAACCCCATTCAAACTACAAGCAGGCTGATTTTGTTTAAAAGGAATATACTTAATCTACCCCAAGCAAATTACAATCTGACTGATTTCATCTACTTATCACTATCGTTATTGATTATCAGTTCTATTCTCATTCAAGCAATTAACCTACCATCATCTACCTGTATACACTCATCTTACTATCTAAGTCCCTTTTACATTTTAAGCAGTTACCATTATCATCATCCTTGTATTTATTTATCTTCTCTTTCTATTTATAAAAACTACACAGTTTACGAATATCTTTGTTCAAGTTAGCTTATGCATATTATTACAGCTCTTAATAATCTACTAATACCAATATAGCTATATGTTTCATCTATCATCTCATTTAAACTTCCACAATGTTAGTATGAAATTCAATCATTACATACATGTGCAAAACAAAGCTAAAACCGCTAATGAATCACGGAAGATAAAGCAACAGGCCATAATCCCAATTTTCAGAACTGGAAGCATCGTGAACACCATAAGCTTCTAGAATCTAAAGCCCCTACAATCCAACCCAAAAAGTTGCAGTTTGCATAAATCCCCAGAGTTATACCATCCTCACCACAATTTCCAGATTATAAAAACTACTTCAAAGTTAAAACTAATCCACAAAAACTCCAGTTTGCGTAGTACCCAAACCAAACCTTATTTCAAAACCCATAATTTCAGATCATCAAACCCAAAACTCACATAAATACTACACAGAACTTCAAATTTGCAAAACCCTCCAAACAAGCATAGATTACCATTTAACTCGACCATGAAATCTATGTTTAGTTTCAGAATCCCCAAACAGGTCTTGAGATGTGTTTAGGGAGGTGTCACCTGTATTTGCCAATGTTCTCGACAATCTGCATTTCAAAGCGAAAGAGCAAAAGTAAGAACCTATCAATTTTAAGAGGGATTTTGAGAGAAAACGAGAGAGAGGGTGATGCAAATCGGCAGAGAGGAGAAACGAGGGGAAGATGGAGATTACAATGCGGCTAGGGTTCTATTTTCGACCTCTTCTCCGTTATTTTTTACATTGCCACCTTCCCTCCTTAAAACGACGTCACTTTAACTTACGACGCAAAAACAAAAATCAGTACATCCCGTTCTTCGTACCACCAACCTGTGGATCGTTATAAAGCTCTCATCAACACTTTAACCATTAGGTGAGTAGCTTGCAAATTATTCACATAGTAACTTGAATGATTCTTAAATTAAATAAACTTAATACGTAACTTACACCTAAGTAAGATAAATTACTTGGTCCATTTCGTGGAAAAAACTTCTAACACTGATTTTTATAAGAATCATTAACTTCATTTGAAATAATTATCTACGTATATTTCTTTTCTAAAAATTCTTAATACGAAATGTTATGGTTAATAGATTGTGATAGTATTTTCGTATTAAGTCTCTTTTAAAGCTATTAACCATTCATATTAAAATTTCGTAAGATGAAAATTTGTTCTATCCTACAAAATATCAAAACTTAAACACGAGTCAATAGAGCGTGTTTGGTTCCTTTCTTTAAAAATAAATCAACGTACCGAACTACATGGACTTTGATCCCGATTAACTCGGGTACGTAGGCAACCAATAGGTTCGAGTCCAACTAATAAAAAAATATTTTCTTTACTTTCTAGATTTTGCGTCAATAGACGGATAATCTAATTGTATACCAATTTTAACTCATTAGTCCAATTGGACTCCAAAATACGTAATTAACAAATTTTAAATAATAACTATCTAATTAATCAAATCATATAATTAGATACATCAAGAAAGCCGCAAATAATAATACACCCAATTCTTAAAAAAACTTATCGATTTAAGTAGTACCCATTTGGGGCGTTGTGGGGTGTGAATACACTTTCCCACACGTAACTGTATTACCGATCCCAAATTACTAATATTTCGCAGACCAAATTCCGCTGTCGACACTTAGGTCGAGACCGGACCAAATGAGTGTTCGATCCACTCCAAGTAAGGTCGATGGCGACTCCGATCGTGACGCGACGGATCCCCCGATTCGGAGGGGCGGTTGCGACATTATGTACGAAGAAGTTGTCATAAATGATGATGACGCGGTGAACATGATGATACAGTTCCTATCTGACAACGGGATGCGGCTTGCAGAAGTGTATGTCGAGACCGAGCCGGTCGGTGAAACTCAATTTCACCAGTATTCTTGTGATGATGGTTTTGCAGGAGGGTACGGCTAGGGTGGTAGTTCAAGCAACTACGGAGGAGGTAGTTTTGCAGGAGGGTACGACTGGGGTAGTGGTGCAAGCAACTAAGGAGGAGGTATTTCTGCAGGACGCTACGGCTGGGGTGGAGGTGCAAGCAACTACGGAGGAGATAGTTATGCAGGAGGTGTTGGGTGGGAAGAATACCCGCAAAATGTTGAGACTGCCCCATTTGTTGAGCCCAACGGTGATCAATGGCCTGCTTGGGAGCCAGAGTGGACTGACATTGATAACCACCTTCGAACTGGGCGTACTTCGCATTACCGAGAAGACGATGTTGGTGATGTTGGTAATGTTGATCCTCCTGAGCCGAGCTATCCATTCGCCTCCAGCGACGAGGAAAGTGAGGAAGATATGAGATCAGTTAGTGAGGATGAAGATACGGACGATATCGAGTATAGCGAGGTGGCGTTCCGTGAGGCACCAACGATCCCCCTGATTTTTTCCCTATGCCTGTGTATAATCCGACTGCCAGTTTGGAGGTGGGTATGGCGTTCACTTTGAAAGTCGATGTTCAAGATGCTTTTATCGAAGAAGCCATGCGGCGCAATTTCGAATGGAAGGTAAAATATTCTGACACCAAACAACTACATGTCATTTGTAAAAATGCCGGAGAGGGTTGTTTGTGGCAACTGCGGGCTGCAAATATGAAGAGAAAGGGTGCCTGGGTCATTTGGACAGCAAAGAACAACCACAGTTGCTCCTCAAACATACTGTCCCAGGATCACCAACAACTGAAAGCAAAGAAAGTGGCAAGAACCATTAAGCACATGATCGAGGCACAACCATATATTAAAATCAAAGCTATCATGGCCGAGGTGAAGGATCGACACTCCTACACGATCAAGTATAAGAAGGCGTGGCATGGGAAGCAGAAGGCCATGGCTAAGGTCTATGGTGATTGGGATGAATCGTATGCTTTACTCCCTAGATTAATGGCCGCAATGGAGGAGTCCAACCCTGGGACTGTTTTCGTGCCCTGTTACAACAATGTATACACTGAGGATTAAGTTCAATTACAGAACGAGTTGATGTTTGATCGTCTGTTCTGGACCTTCCAGCCATTCATTGACGGTTTTGCTTTCTGCATGCCAGTTATCCAGGTATATTACAGTCTAAACACTGTTGTTGTATTTATTTATTTTTTTACTAAGTAATATTTATACTAACTATAATTCATTTTAATAGGTTGATGGAACTTTCCTTACTGGGAAGTATAAAGGAACTCTTCTCATTGCCACTGGCGACCTCAACCCCTTCTTCTGCCTTCTCTGTCTCCTCCTTCTTCGCGAGCCTGTTGGACGACTGCTCGCGGATTCCTCTTAAACCAACGTCCGACCGGAGTATAGCTAGGCGGTGGAGGCACTGGTGACTGAGATGGACCAGAAGAGTGGTAGTAGGCAGAAGATGTGGGCTGATGAGGTGGTGTCTGATAAATCAGGGTCTGTTGCTGATGGTGGAATTGAGGGAAACCTTGAGGAAACATGTCATATTTCTGTGGCGGGGCATAGCTTGACGACCCTGGAGCGCCCTCCATTGTAGTTGACCACTCATGATCTGGCCATGGGCTAGGCAGTTGTGTTTGCTAAGTCGAACGAAGTTTTTTGGTGTTTGGCTAGGCTCTTTTCTTACTCCACCGTGGGGGCTCAGCTAGGGCACAATGGCGGCATCATCAAGGAAAGAAGGTCGAGGCGGATCAGGCACTGGAGGGTATACGATGACATCCCTCCTTTGCTCTCGCGTACACCTGAGCAGGTTATTGAAAAGCCTCCGTAGGAAAGATGTCTTCCGCTAGTCCATGATAGGAGCACTCTCGACAGTGTGCTTGGCATGTTCCAAGCCATCAACCTAATACAAATAATTGGAAAATGCAATAAAATGAATCTAATCAAGTTAATTTCCATGACTCAAATCTAAGCATGTAATCTAGGGACAAAGGCATAAGAATATGACGAAGAGTAAGAATTGGAATCACTTACCACCGCTCCACACACAGCACCTTGCTTTGATACCCATCTAAGTGTGAATTTTGGATACCACACCATGTACCATCGTGGTACCCCATTGGCCTCGTCTCTAGTAAACCTTGGACAGCCCAAGTCGCTCTATTCTCCCAAATGTTGATGTAGAACTCATGCTTGCGGATCCAATTCTTTGATTTGTGATGTAGGTCGATGGCATGGAGCTCTTTGAACCCTTGAGGTGGGGATGCTGGAATTGGTTGCTCCATCCGATACTGCCTCAATGCTCGATCCGGCAGGTGCCACTCCACCATGTGCCAACAGATCAAGGGCACCTTGCACAACCACGTCTGTACATCCTGGGGGTGTCTAAGACGATGAATCTCGATGACTTGAGGTGGATATGGATCCCATGTCACCTACATTCATTAATGATTTGGAATTAGTACAAATTGTATCCAATCCATTTAAAAAATTTAAAATTATCCAAGTTGACATTTTTACATAGTTCCACCAAGGCTTATCAAACTCAGCACGATAAAACAGTAAAGAGTGCTCAGGATGGTGGTCGTTTGTATTTGCTCCGATCCACCTTATTAAGGAAAAGTACGTATATAAGAAATTTTAAAAGAATATATGTTATGTTATGCATGTGAGAATTCACTAAATTCACTAAATTTGCTAAAATTCGCTAAATTGCATATTTGGAATGAATCTAAATTCGCTAAATTGCATACTTGGAATGTATCTAATTCACTAAAATACTAAAATTGCATACTGGGAATAAAATTAGCATGTAAATTAATCTTACTTGATAGTTGACACCATATCGGGGATTTGCTAGTGCGCATAGCTCCTCATCTGGACCCCAGAATTCCCGCGGGTCTTGGGGGGCAAACATTGGAAGATGCTCCCATGCCCAGAGTTGGAGTATGAACATCGCACCTCCAGCTTGTTTCGCTCCCAACCTCGAGCAAGTGCACACTTCTCGGTAGATCCCAACCAATACGGCCGACCCCTAACTCTTTCCCCCGATCTCGTCCCAATCATCGAGGAGCAACGGCAACCACATGCCTTGAATACACCGGTTTGCCTTGTCGGGGAACAGAAATCCACCAACCAACTCAATGAGGTAGACGCGTGCATATCGCTCCACCTGATCTTCGGGGGGTGTCTGGCCCTAAATTAACCTCCTATTGGATGTGTTCAACAAGCCACGGGATTGAAACTTGCCCCCTTTGAAAGGTGGATGCCCAACCCCTTGAACGAGCGTTGTGGTCGGCAAAGCAGATCGTTGTCGATATCTAGCCGCATGAAATGCCTCAGCATGTGCAATCCCGTCCTCTCTAGATAGGGCTCCAGTTGAGGATGCCAAATAGGCAATCGACATGTCCCTCGATGACTGATGGGAATAAGTGATTCCTACAAAACAAAACAAAAAATACAATGTTTTGTTAGAAAAAAAAAGCAAAACAAAAAGTTTTAACCTAATGAAATCATTTAAAAATTTATACAGTACGGAGTGTCTAGCGGATTATTGTCTCATATTGAATGGGAGCGATGTTGTTCTTGCTCGTTTAAATATTTTCGATCCCTTGGGCCAGGATCGATATACAAACGAGGGTCGTATATCTCAGCACCCGTCTATAAACAAATGTGAAATGAAATTAGATTATTTCAAACCCATTTACAAAAATATCACAAAAGAAGAAAAAAAATCGTACTCTCAGAGCCTCTTCGTCCATTTTTGCCAAAAAGCTGGAGAGAGTATCGACGAAACTTTAGAGCAAAGGATTGAAAATAAAATAAAAACGCTAGTAATTCTTTCTGATGTGGAAGATTGGACTTAGCCGCAACCACAGAGCATACTTAGAACGAGACTAGAGTGAAGTAATGGAGGGAGAAAGAAGTATAAAAGTGGTGGTGTGGTTTGGAATGAGGGGGGAAGGAGTGGTATTTATAGTGAGGACCACAGAGCATTCCCCGCTCTGGTTGAAGACGGTGAATCAAACCTGCTTTCCTCGAAGACGGTGAAGGACGCGGATCGATAACGTGGTTGGTTTGAGGCGTCAGATCTAGGAGAAAAAACCAGAATCCGCGACTCACCGCATCGGACGACCATGGTGAAAGGCGCGAGTGACCAGGATTGATGACGTGGAAGTGCGTTGATCGCGCTTCACCGTTGATCGCGCTTCCACGTCATCTATCCTGGTCACTCGCGCTATCACCATGGTCGTCCGATGCGGTGAAGCGTGATCTGACGTTTCCTCATTTTTCTCCAACGCGGTGATAGTTTCCCCGCTTTTGTCCAAAACAATGATACATTCACCGTTTCGACAGCGATGATGATCAAACTGTTGTATTTTGAGAAATATTTTCATAAGTACTGTATATTGGGAATTTTTTTAATAACTAGTGCATTCTGATATTTTTTCCATTGTTGACAATATGGGTTCAGATCAGTTTCTAACATGAGAAATATTGGCTTTACTCTCGGTTTTGACGTTGATTCTGTTTCAAACGAGCGGTGACCATCAACAGGCTAAAAGGTTTTTGCTTATGGAAGAGTACCATTCAACTTTTTGTTGGCCTGTACATCGATCCTATTTCAAAATGGTTATGAAAATGCTAGGTTTTCCATGGAGCTGAAGGAGGCCAGATGGGGGAAAGCGTTTACTAAAAGAGGCAACTCTGCTGTGTGCACGTCCAAGAACAAGCTTCTGATGGTTTTGACTTTTTGAGACAATTTGATTGCCAGAATCTGTAGTAGATCTATCTGACGTGCATATTCAGTGAGAGTTCAGTTTGATGTATGGTGGAGAACATAACATAGTACATACAGGAAGGGATGTCAAAGCGAGCTAACCTTGCGCATATTCAGTGAGAGTTCAGTTTGATGTATGGTGGGGAACAAAACATAGTATATACAGGAAGGAACCTTGCGCAAATTGAGGGTGTTTATGAAAATGTTATAACATTGATCCAACAACAGTCGAATGATCGGATGGCAGGTGATCCAACACTGCATATAATCCAAATTCCTAAATCCTAATGCAGAAAGTGACGAGGCTAATTGTGTCCAATTTTACAATGCAGTGTCATCTGTACTGAAGTAAAGCAGTATGAACAGGGTAACTAAAGGCTAAAGCCAAAAGCACCGGGAATGTACATCACATGTTTGTTTTTATAGGAATGAGGTTTTACTGTACATCCTTCTTTGTTTGAGAAACAGAGAGTAAATTTGTACCTCGAATAATCACCAAGGGCAGAACAAGCTTTAGACAAGGAGCATAGGAACAGCCTCGCGTGGAATTAGATATTATGCAGTGCCTGTACTTGGGCTGCCTCGAGGTGGAAAACAAGTTGCAGAAACATGCAAAAGAAGTAAATGTCGATGTTATCACCACCAATTTACCAAATCCAAGAGAGTCTAGCAAACTCTACCTTTCCCTCCCTCTTCCTTTCATATTCTGCTGATATCCCGACCAAACACCATCGTTGTAAGCCAGTTAACAGCAACGTAGAACCGGTTCCTCCAGCTTACAACTCGTGTAAGATATGCTGACCGCCATATAAACCAGCTTAAGAAACCCGCCAGGGATATCCCTTTGCCCTCCTGTTTTAAGAAGATAAGTAAAATGAATGCCCCCCATCAATTGACATGGGTATGTGCTGTGTGTTAAAAGCTTTATATGAAAGAAAGAAAGAAAGAAAGAAAGAAAGAAAGAACAGAGAGAGAAAGCAAGAGAAGGGTCCTGACTTTGCTCTTTCTAAGATCCACGAGAGCCTTGTACCGCCCAATAGTAGCCATGCTTCCCATATGTTTGTACACAAATGGATCACCAAGGTCTAATTCCGCTCCACTGTTTGCACGTCCTCCTCCAGCTTTGCCAATTCGATTCAGTAGACCAGCAAGATATTTTCCTTGCCGCTCTGCAACCTGTTCTAGTCAAACACTAGTTCAGAATGTGGCATCCAACAGTGAAGAGCCAATGGTAACAACTCGGTATTTGATGGATGGTATAGTTTGTTGAACACTCACCTGCGCTAAAGCGGGTAGGACTGGTTTACCGGTGCTCTCGACAAACCCACTACAGTCACCAATTGCAAACACATCCGGCACATTGGCCACCCGCAGCCACTCATCAATCCCTATTCTGTAAGCAAAGAGGAGTAGTCCAATCATTTATCACGAGATTATTGCTTAAACCCTGGATGCAGATTCCCCTATCCATTTTAGTTCGTTCAGAACTTTAGATTACCAAAAGACACAATCTGAAAGAGCAACTGCAAACTTGAGCTAGCCAGAGAATAAGTTGCGGAGAATCAGAAAGAGCACACAACTTACCTTCCACCAGGAGATTTAGGCAGGTCAAGAGATTTGACAAGAGATGAAGGGCCAACGCCCGTGGACCAAACCAGTAAACCGTAAGGGACCTCTGTTCCATTATCAAGAACTATTTTGTGAGATTCAACATCCTTGACTATCCCACGAACAAGCCGAACCCCTGACTGAGGAACAATGGGAATCACAGGAAGAAAAAACCATTGTCTCAACCATTAAAGGAGTATGACAACTTGTATTTTCATCATTCAAGCAGGTCTGACCTTAGTCAATTGTTTGGTAGCATACTGGCGCAGACGATCATCAAAGGAAGACAAAATCTCATTCGCCTGATGACAACAGAAAATACACATCAATACTCCTTCCCACAATCTACTCTAGAATTGGATTCTAAACTCAAAGGAGGTTTCTTTTTGTCCTAGAAGTTACATTCCTTTTCCTTTCTTCTTAGCACAAAGATAATCTAAGAGCCATGTCATCGAAAAAGCAACTCTTAAAACAAAGGAGGGGACCTCAATCAAAGTAACACGGATGTAATCCTTGACGTGGGCGTGCCTTTGGCGAACATCCTTGGTGATAAAATCACTGAGCTCTCCACTGAATTCAACTCCCGTAGGGCCACCTCCAACAACAACACAATGCAGCAACCTGCTCTTCTCTTGCTCCGTAGTGCCTGCAGAACAAACCGAGCCAAACAGTTCCAACCACCGCCACCAACATCATCATCCCGCAGAAATTACTCTTCAGGTTTCGAATTTCCTACCTGGGACATCAGACAGCATCAAATTCAGGAGCAGCCTCCTCCTTATCTCCTGAGCATGATGAACTTCTCTGAGGAAAATGGCATGTTCATTCACGCCACGGATGCCAAACGTCAAGGCCTCGGCTCCCAAGGCAATTACCAATTTGTCATACGATACGTTGAACTTCCATGGGTCCGGTGTGTTTGGTCCTTCAGTCACAGTCTCGCAATGCACCTTTTCAATGCAAGAACTCAAAACTTTATCAGCTACTTTTTGTCCTCAAATCGCAAAACAGTATGAAACAAAAAAAGAGAGACAACTTTAACAGCTGCGTACCCGGCGATTCTCAGCGTCGATCCCCTTGCAATTGGAGAGAAAGAAATAGGAACCGGGCTCCGTCGAAATGGCGGGTTGGATCCGACCCACAGGCTCGGCAACCGACCTGAACTCCAGCGTCCCGACGCAAGTGGAGGCCAGGAGGGGCGTGAAGACCATGTGATTCCTCGGCGAAACGCATACGACGTCGTAGATGTTGGTATCGATTCCCTTCATCAGCCGGCAGCCGGCCCATCCGGATCCCAGCACTACCACCCTCGGCTTCTCGCCGCCTCTGGTGGGCTCCAAGTCTCCGCAGCGGGCCGGCGGAGGGCGATTGTCGACGGCGGCGCCTGTGCTGAAGTAGCGAAGCGAAGTCAGTAGCAGAGACGGGGAGGTGGGTATGGTTCTGACCGGCCACGATTTGGCGGTGGCGGAAAATCGGGTCAGGGTCCGAAACCAGGCCATGATTGACCTGAAAGAAAGTGTGGAGTTAGGGAATCGGGAGTCTGAGATCTTGGACGTAGATGATGAAAGGAGAAATTTTGATTAGTCAGTCAAAGAGTCCAACCGATCCGCGGGTGGAAAAGCAAAATTGTGGGAGTGAGCAGAGGTGGTGAGTCAGCACTCCAAACGGGACCCACTCTACCCGAACCGCCGGACTGCTGTGCTGTGTGTTGGGATGGTTGGACGAGAGGAATTCAGTTATCGAGGATAGGATGGATTTTTAAAAAATTATCGCAATACAACATATATACATGCGTTGGGATATGAACGTATGTGGGGGATAAGTGGATCCCGTCGACTCCAGGACATTATGTGGAAATAGCGTTGGTAAAAGAATTGTTGGATGAAGAGCAAGGCAATTGGGATATGAACGTATTGGAAAGTTGCTGCTCAACCGAGACGGTGCATGACATTATGGCCATTCCCATTCGGAGAAGGATGAAATGACTCTATGGATGGGATTATACAGTGAGAGATGGATACCGGGTGTGGTTGGAAGAGTATATGGAGCAAAATGGGGTAGATAGAGGGATCAAGTGATAATAATGGCATATGGAAGCAGCATCAAAGTTCCATCAAAGATACGTCATTTTATGAGATGTGCCCGTTTTGTAAAAAAAAATAAAAAAATACAACACATAGGCTACATGGATGCACTATTCGGATATTAGAACCCAAATTACAACACATAGGCTCACAAGAACTCCTCCATTTCAACCCAAAGCGCGTCTTGTCAGTTAAGCTCGGTTTCTTACTTATGAACCATGTATCTCTCCCGTGCTTTGTCGATGTGGGATTTGCCTAAGGTGTTATAGAGTGTTTAGTTGAAAAATTATTAGAAATAATTTTTAATATAAGAGGTTATCCAAATAGAATAATTTTTTTAATCTAACTTACATTATTTTAAAATAAGATAAATGAAATAAAATTATGTTTTCATAAAAAAAAATAATGATTTTGGAACATTAATCTTGAGAATTATCATTTTAAATGTTATGTGTCTTTGTGTTATTAATGATTTACCTTATTAATATTATTATAGTTAGTTTCTATATGAAACTATTCAATTTTACCCAAGTTTTCGATTTGAGGTAAAAATTCAACTTTGACTGCATTGATGGTACGAGATAGCCAAACTAGGAAGCTTGCAGAGGCTATACCTGCTAAAGAACGAGAAGTTGGATAATGACAGAATCAAGAAAAGTGTCTTAAAAGACCGGATGATACTCATTTTATTATTTTGTGTTAGTGTCATGAACCTCCTTCAAAGACCCAATTGCTCGCTGCTAGATTAGGAAACTGAAAGAGGAACATAAAATTACCAAAACATGAAATCTGATTGGGCTCTTTTATATCCCAAACTCATTATCAAAAAGTAAAAAAATAACAGTCCATCTCTAAATCACCTATAGCTCAAGTGGGCCCGAGAAAATTAAATCTCTAGGTTATCCCTCCACTACACTACCCAACTTTCTGAATCGCACAAGGTAGAAGAAGTGCCCTATCGGGCATTTTTCGGTGGTGCACAAATAGTAATCGGCTACCCTCATCAGAGCTGAGTTGTAATTGAGTCCAGTTGTTTGACAATTCGTCAGCGTGTGGAGCAGCCATAGCCACCTACGGCGTGAACCAGAAGACATGCAAAAGTTAGAGAGAAAAGAAAGATTAAATTTTCAAGTATTTTGATAAGAATATTTCAAAAGGCTTATCAAATTTTGCGTAACATAATTAAATCTTAGTTAATAAGCGCTTTGCAACAATGAAGAATGAGCAAAATTGTTTTTTCAGTTCATAATGGTGTGTTTTGTTTCACTATTTGTCTCCGTAGCCATCTTCTTCGACCAATCTCTCCACAAACTTCATTGTTTCTTTCAACACTCAAGAAGACGATTCGATTGCCCTTCCCTTTGTTTAGCGTTCCAGATTTCGTTTTTACCGTTTCTCTATCAATTTTCGATACAGTTGTCTATGGATACCGGGTGTGGTTGGAAGAGTATATGGAGCAATATGGGGTAGATAGAGGGATCAAGTGATAATAATGGCATATGGAAGCAGCATCAAAGTTCCATCAAAGATACGTCATTTTATGAGAAGAGCAATAAGCAAAGCGACATGTGCCCGTTTTGTAAAAAAAAATAAAAAAATACAACACATAGGCTACATGGATGCACTATTCGGATATTAGAACCCAAATTACAACACATAGGCTCACAAGAACTCCTCCATTTCAACCCAAAGCGCGTCTTGTCAGTTAAGCTCGGTTTCTTACTTATGAACCATGTATCTCTCCCGTGCTTTGCCTAAGGTGTTATAGAGTGTTTAGTTGAAAAATTATTAGAAATAATTTTTAATATAAGAGGTTATCCAAATAGAATAATTTTTTTAATCTAACTTACATTATTTTAAAATAAGATAAATGAAATAAAATTATGTTTTCATAAAAAAAAAATAATGATTTTGGAACATTAATCTTGAGAATTATCATTTTAAATGTTATGTGTCTTTGTGTTATTAATGATTTACCTTATTAATATTATTATAGTTAGTTTCTATATGAAACTATTCAATTTTACCCAAGTTTTCGATTTGAGGTAAAAATTCAACTTTGACTGCATTGATGGTACGAGATAGCCAAACAAGGAAGCTTGCAGAGGCTATACCTGCTAAAGAACGAGAAGTTGGATAATGACAGAATCAAGAAAAGTGTCTTAAAAGACCGGATGATACTCATTTTATTATTTTGTGTTAGTGTCATGAACCTCCTTCAAAGACCCAATTGCTCGCTGCTAGATTAGGAAACTGAAAGAGGAACATAAAATTACCAAAACATGAAATCTGATTGGGCTCTTTTATATCCCAAACTCATTATCAAAAAGTAAAAAAATAACAATCCATCTCTAAATCACCTATAGCTCAAGTGGGCCCGAGAAAATTAAATCTCTAGGTTATCCCTCCACTACACTACCCAACTTTCTGAATCGCACAAGGTAGAAGAAGTGCCCTATCGGGCATTTTTCGGTGGTGCACAAATAGTAATCGGCTACCCTCATCAGAGCTGAGTTGTAATTGAGTCCAGTTGTTTGACAATTCGTCAGCGTGTGGAGCAGCCATAGCCACCTACGGCGTGAACCAGAAGACATGCAAAAGTTAGAGAGAAAAGAAAGATTAAATTTTCAAGTATTTTGATAAGAATATTTCAAAAGGCTTATCAAATTTTGCGTAACATAATTAAATCTTAGTTAATAAGCGCTTTGCAACAATGAAGAATGAGCAAAATTGTTTTTTCAGTTCATAATGGTGTGTTTTGTTTCACTATTTGTCTCCGTAGCCATCTTCTTCGACCAATCTCTCCACAAACTTCATTGTTTCTTTCAACACTCAAGAAGACGATTCGATTGCCCTTCCCTTTGTTTAGCGTTCCAGATTTCGTTTTTACCGTTTCTCTATCAATTTTCGATACAGTTGTCTATGGATACCGGGTGTGGTTGGAAGAGTATATGGAGCAATATGGGGTAGATAGAGGGATCAAGTGATAATAATGGCATATGGAAGCAGCATCAAAGTTCCATCAAAGATACGTCATTTTATGAGAAGAGCAATAAGCAAAGCGACATGTGCCCGTTTTGTAAAAAAAAATAAAAAAATACAACACATAGGCTACATGGATGCACTATTCGGATATTAGAACCCAAATTACAACACATAGGCTCACAAGAACTCCTCCATTTCAACCCAAAGCGCGTCTTGTCAGTTAAGCTCGGTTTCTTACTTATGAACCATGTATCTCTCCCGTGCTTTGCCTAAGGTGTTATAGAGTGTTTAGTTGAAAAATTATTAGAAATAATTTTTAATATAAGAGGTTATCCAAATAGAATAATTTTTTTAATCTAACTTACATTATTTTAAAATAAGATAAATGAAATAAAATTATGTTTTCATAAAAAAAAAATAATGTTTGGAACATTAATCTTGAGAATTATCATTTTAAATGTTATGTGTCTTTGTGTTATTAATGATTTACCTTATTAATATTATTATAGTTAGTTTCTATATGAAACTATTCAATTTTACCCAAGTTTTCGATTTGAGGTAAAAATTCAACTTTGACTGCATTGATGGTACGAGATAGCCAAACAAGGAAGCTTGCAGAGGCTATACCTGCTAAAGAACGAGAAGTTGGATAATGACAGAATCAAGAAAAGTGTCTTAAAAGACCGGATGATACTCATTTTATTATTTTGTGTTAGTGTCATGAACCTCCTTCAAAGACCCAATTGCTCGCTGCTAGATTAGGAAACTGAAAGAGGAACATAAAATTACCAAAACATGAAATCTGATTGGGCTCTTTTATATCCCAAACTCATTATCAAAAAGTAAAAAAATAACAGTCCATCTCTAAATCACCTATAGCTCAAGTGGGCCCGAGAAAATTAAATCTCTAGGTTATCCCTCCACTACACTACCCAACTTTCTGAATCGCACAAGGTAGAAGAAGTGCCCTATCGGGCATTTTTCGGTGGTGCACAAATAGTAATCGGCTACCCTCATCAGAGCTGAGTTGTAATTGAGTCCAGTTGTTTGACAATTCGTCAGCGTGTGGAGCAGCCATAGCCACCTACGGCGTGAACCAGAAGACATGCAAAAGTTAGAGAGAAAAGAAAGATTAAATTTTCAAGTATTTTGATAAGAATATTTCAAAAGGCTTATCAAATTTTGCGTAACATAATTAAATCTTAGTTAATAAGCGCTTTGCAACAATGAAGAATGAGCAAAATTGTTTTTTCAGTTCATAATGGTGTGTTTTGTTTCACTATTTGTCTCCGTAGCCATCTTCTTCGACCAATCTCTCCACAAACTTCATTGTTTCTTTCAACACTCAAGAAGACGATTCGATTGCCCTTCCCTTTGTTTAGCGTTCCAGATTTCGTTTTTACCCTTTCTCTATCAATTTTCGATACAGTTGTCTATCTCGGTGATTCCCCATTACACTTTCTTGATTGCTCTTTTCCTTCTGTATTTCTGTTTACACCATAATATTTTTCTTGTACCACATTGGTGAGTTACAAGATAATCAATGAGTTTATAAGGCCACATTAATTATTAAAATTAATGTTGTTTAAGTTGGGCCTAATGGATATTAATTATTAGCCCAAACTAAGTCATTAATGGGCATGGGCATGATCCAACGAGGGACATGTGCCTTTCGTAAGAGG